GGGGGTCGGACTCGATGATCTATTGAGGTCCCTTCCGACCCTAACATCTATGAATCTATAAGAACGTCATTTTACACTAGTATCTGTTAAAGCCAAACAGACCAGTATTAAGATACTGGCAGAAGGGCCCATCTGACAACTACCATGTCCATTTATTAACCCTGTCTTAGTTCAGGAGGGTTTCATCAGCTGAACCTAGTTTAGTTCCAGAGTACTGTCCTTGGATGAACATGGTGGAACTGTAGGAAATACACCTCAGCCCTTGTGCACCTTTCCCCTAGACAGAGAAGCTGCAGATGATGTGAACTATACATCTTAGGGGGAAGTAGCAGAGAAAATATAAGAAAAGAAGAGCTTGAGTGGTTCCAGAGACAGCCATAAAGTACAGAGCTGTCCATACACTTGAAATGATCTATAAAGAGGTTTTTTAATTCTTTTTCTGTTCAATAAAAACTCTAATCTCTGACCTGCAGAACCCAGGACCTCAACAGTTGTCTTCCTGTAACAGGGGGCCTTCCTGGGGCTGGTCAGTTATTGGCCCGCCAGCCTGTCTCCGGGCTAACCACCCACCATCCTCATCTGTCATGCCTTGATGATAATAATTAAGATGTTAACCAGGCAGGAGGCTGCCCATTTACTTGCTCAGTGCTAAGGGCATTACACACGGCTCCAACCTTCCCTTACTGTGTCCCATGCCTCACAGATTGCATCCCAGGCAGCTAAGATCACTTGTACCATTCTCCCTCTCAAGCTGTGGTCCCCTTTCTAGGGGAGGTCCTAGAAAGGAGACCTTTGGCCTCCCAGGCCCTGGCCCCACCTGCATCAAGCCAGTCGGCCCCCAGGCTTCTGGCTCTGGGTGTCCCTCGGCTGGTGGGCCCCTGGCTCTTTTGACCCCTCCCTGCCAGGTCCTGGCCCCAGCATTGACCAGTTCAAGGATCTATCCGGTCAAGATGGATGACACAAATGTATCTGCTTTTTGTTTCTCCCATTCATTTTGGTGAAGACCATAAATTTGGTTTTAAATGTGGTGTTATAATATTTTAGGAGCCGTTTCTCAGTGTAGGCTACTTTCTAGTTTGCCCTTTTGAGTATTTGCTCCTGCTTGGAGCTTTGAATGAATCAGGATATTTCAATGATATATTTTATCTTTATTTGGAAAGATGATGTGCTAATAACAATATAGGAATATTCTTTTATTTACTTGCTCTTGTTTCCTAATGAAGGGGTTTTTCCAGAGA